ATAATCAAATTCTTTTTTTAATATCAGCGTTTAGTTTAATACATTGATTTTGTGAGAGCATAAATTTACCGCTTGTTTCTTGCTCAGTCTTTTTATAGAGGGCCAACACTTTGGTAACCCCTAAATTGGCATTTTTTTCATTAAAAGACCCTTTTCAATGGCATAAACACTTTAAGTGGTATTTTGTTATTTTCAAGGTAACTTGGTTTAATATAAGATAATTTAATACGCGACAAAATATACATAAGTATACAGACAATAAATATACACGACAATGTGTAAATTACAATATATGTAAATATATCAGAAACGGAAATGAAATATACTTTGAAAGAGACTCTCGGGGTCAAAAAGCGAACAAATAGATAAGCACGTCGAATAAGTTGACTCCTTTTGTGGAGAGATAAAACTATATTCACGTATAAGGTGAAATACAACAGCTAAAACACTGCTGCTATGGAGCTTCCAATGTCGTTTCACTTGTTTCTCCTGTTCTTTGGTGGTTTTTCTTACGAGTGTGGTTCTGAGGATCGAAGTCATGATATGATAATCCAGGTTCTACTGCAAGAATTACAATCTCGAGTATCAGAGTTGGAAATAGTCATTAAACATCAGAATGAAATAATTCAGGACCAAAACAACAGACTTACGAAACTTGAAAAATTAACTACATCCGAGAATTCTAGAGGAAAATCTTTGGAGTACTCTAACCAAATAGATGATAAAACTGATACAGGAAGTTCCATGCTGACTCCTACACTAAGACCTAATCAAACAACCATTGAATTAAACGAAGAAAATGTTCATTTACCTCAAAGTGGACTATTAAAAGGGAACCAAAAGATTAAGAAAGGTTTGGATTCTTCTAATTAGCAGGACAAAGTAATCTGCAATGCAATGTCTTTTTTTAACCCGAATTTCGGAATATTCTTTATTTTGGTTGGGAATGCCATTATTATAAAAGTATAAGTAGTTCCCCCAATTGCCAAACTCTGTATGCATTAGTTTTTAAGTACAGGTAATATTTAGCTTACCTGAACCAAATCCTCAAGTAAACTTTTATGATTAAAACTTGATCTTCGCCAATGTGTAGTAATCAAAGGTCATGCAGATTCAAGTTTGCGCAAATCATGGCTCCTGGTAGGCAGATTAAGGCCACCATAGTGGATCAATAAATTACATGTAAATTTTGAGGGAATTTATATAGGAAACATCGTTAAAATTTCTCTTTTCAATTACAACAGTGGCATATTAGGCATAATTTTGTACAAGCATCCTCAAAATAATACACTTTGAAGTTTAATTTTATTATGACCCAAATGATAAGGTTAAGTTCACAATAAGGGATTAAAGTTTTAAGTGAGAATTGTTGGGAAAATGATTTTTTTTTAAGAACAGCAGGAGCACAATATATATTATATTAAACATCCAAAGATAGTTCAGCTCTAAATTCATTCAAACAGTAGTTCCGCAGTTTGAGTAACGCTACATTAAGGGTTTAAATATTCACATGGAAATATATGGAATGTACATGTATCTTAATGATTCACTTCTCAAGAATCAATATGAACTCATTCAATTACATTGAAAAATGATACTTGTTTAAATAATGGGCCTTGCCCTACAGGAATACTTAAAAGGGTATAAATAATTTTATTGAGATATAGAAAATTGAACAAAAATAAAGCTGGGCACGACTCGTAAATCACTTTGCTCCACATTAGCTTAGAGCATATTAGGAAAAGTCCATTTAAAAAAAAAAAAGAACTCCAGAGTAGCCACATTAGTCAAACTGATAGTCGGAATCCTAATCTATTTTGGATTCAAATAAGGCAAGGGTAGGATGAATTACACCCTAAGCAATAAAGAGAAAGCTTAGAAAAAAATGTAGATATAAGAATGTCAAATGTTTATTATAATTTTAGCTTGGATTTCATTCTTTGTTGCTGAGGTAAAGGCACTTAGTTTTGTAAACTTTCTTTCGCATAGTAAAATTCATTTAGATATATAAAACCTTCCTTACCAAAATGTTTATGAGCGTAATTTCTAATGATTTTTTTCTCTCTTCCACATAGAGTCGCCACGAATTAGAGCAGTGCAGTCCATTGCGTTTTATGCTCACATGAGTGCCAATTTGAGAGCCCCTGGTGGACATCAAACGCTTATTTTTGATACAGTCAAAACAAACCAAGGGAAGGGATACCATCCTCATGTCGGAGTTTTCATCGTCCCTAAATCTGGTACCTATTTTTTCACCTGGACAATGTCTCTCGGGGCTTCAGCTTCTCTTTCTACAGAACTGGTGGTTAACAATGTCGCAAGTGGCGCGATTTATATTCATACGAGTCCAGATCAGCGTGACAGTGCTACGGGAAACCTTATCCTTTCTGTTAACGTAGGGGATGAAGTCATTATTCGCACAGGGGATTCTTTCAGTTCTGCACAAATCCTAAGTGATGGATACAGCAGAACGGATTTTTCTGGATTTCTAATCGAATAACAAGCAGGTTTAATGAAATGGCAATAGAAGATTGTAAAAAATTATATATAATTAATATAACAATAAATCTGTTTTTCGCGTCAAGAGGCCAAAAAGCAGAAATATTTATTATATTAGCCTCTAACCGCGCAAGAGCTACATGTATTAAACTAATGATTCATAGGATAGGAACTGTGTGTTTTTTAAAATTTATTTGTCTTTAACCATATTTATTGGATAATTCAATTAGGATTAGTCCATGCAAATCCTCTCATGCAAGTTATTTCGTGATTCCTTCGCGAATTCGATCGTGAAATGACTGCGAATATTAGCACTACGCGTAAGTTATGCGTCACAGTTACATTTGAAATGATGGAGAACCCTGATAAAAATCGGAGAGGAATACTTTAAAAAATAATGAACACTGAAACCTTATTTTATTTCTTTTATGAAGGTTATTCAATTAGTTCGCAAACTTTTTGATCACCCCTCGTACCTAAAATGAAAACATCAATACACAACAAATTCCAGTCAGAAACTTCTCTGAGCCTCTGGCCCAAGGGATATATACTTTTGACAAATCTTTCACATTTTCATTGAAATTGCGTCTGAATGTCTGGAAGTCAGTGGGCTGTAACTTTAGCTAAGGGTGTTCTTAAAAGTAATTTGTACATCCCCCCTGTCTTGTGCTGAGGAATCTTATAGATGACCGATTGTCCAAGCCCATAACTCTACTGTGTTTCAACATAGAGGTATGGTGCGATCGAGGTACAGCTCCACGATCCTGTGAAATAACATTGCTTTAGAGACCTGAAACATGAAGGTAAAAGTCGAAAAACATTACAAAAAACCCTTTGGTATATATAACTTAGAGTCAAGATCGAGTAAATATTGTTTTTTTGGAGTTAGATCCATTATCACATAATTAATTTAAACTTACTTTTTTCAGTACTCTATGGCTATAATAACTATGTAGAAAATGAAGCATTTTCATGGAGTTCAATTTGAATCATGATGAAAAAAAGTAAATAACCACGATACCTTATATTCAGTTTAATATCATTTTAAAACATAGGTGAAGAAGATATGAAAAATGTTTTCTGAGAGACTGTCGACAATACTGATATATTTCCTTGGTCTGAGATTGAAAAGAAAACTCCCATACTAAAGCCTCATTTTTTTCATTTTGCATTGAAAATTGCAGTTTGAAATATGTATTTTCACCGAGTTTACCTAAAAATTGTGTCCAAATACACATTAAACTAGTTATAATTGTAACGGGGACCGTTACAGATGTTCCCCAAACGCTCCCCAACTCCCTTTTGGTGTCTTATTTCCTGTAAGCTTCATTAAATAAGGCAATGAAGTATATTTTTGCATTTCACGCGCGCGCACGTGCATGCATATGCAGGATTACCATGTCATCCCGTCTGTACTATAAATGCATCTTTATATTCTCAGTATCAAAACATTTCATCAAAAAATATATAAGTTCCGGCTATATCAAGCATATTGGTCATCTTAGCATTGCGCGCACGCGCACCTGCATGCATGTTAATAATGACCATGCCATTTGTCTACACTTACAATATGTCTGTTTATTCTTAGTATCAAAGCTTTTCATCAAAAAATATAAAAATTACGGCTATATTAAGTGTATTGGTCATTTAACACATTGCACGCGCGCGCATATGCATGCATGTGCATGATGGTTACATCATCTTGTCTACACTTTTAATATTTCTGTATATTTTTAATATCAAAGCTTTTCATCAAAAAATATAAAAATTACGGCTATATTAAGTAAATTGGTCATTTACATGTAACACATTGCATGCGCGCGCACGTGCATGCATGTGCAGGATGACCATGTCGTCTTGTCTACACTTCTAATATATATAAATATTTTGAGTATCAAAGCATTTAATCAAAAAGTATCAAAGTTACGACTATATCGAGTAAATTGGTCATTTTACGCTTTGCACGTGCGCGCACGTGCATGCATGTGCATGCTGACCATGTCATCTTGTTAACACTAAGTCTTTTAATATATCCCTATATTCTGAGTATCAAAGCATTTCATCAAAAAATATAAAAGTTACAACTATATCAAGAATATTGGTCATTTTATGCAATGCAGGTGCACGCACGTGCATGCACGTGCGCGCAAAATGACCTTCGTTCCGCAAATCTACATAACATGCCTAGTAACCCTAAAAAGGTTTCACATCAATTGGATGTATAGTTTCCGAGATCACTCACGGACAAAAAAGTACCCAGGAAGAAAAATAATAATAACTAGATGAGATCTCGTTGCGAGCAACGAGTAGGTCTTCCGTCCGATTTTTCGATGAGATGAGATGTGATTTTAATTAAGTTTTCGTTAAAAGATAATGATATAAAGATTTCCCTCCTTAGATTTCATTCTTTTGATTTATATAATATAATCTTGAACATCTTTCGTTCAATATTGCTTTTCAAAATGTTTCCCCTTTTCGAGATATGAAGCGTAAAGGATTTAACATTCTGACCACCTATGGCCCCTACTTACGCAATAGAGAATCAAAGTTTTACAACATATTGTTGCATAATGAAGAGTTACATATTAGTCTTTTGGCCCCTCTGAGCCCCTAATTTGAAGGGTTAGCCCCTTTTATTTGATATTAAATAAAAAGACATTTGATTTTAAACATTTTTTGCTCAACAATTATTCAGAAGTTTCTTCTCGTTTTCGAGATATGTAGAATAGAAATATTTAGGGGCCAACCCTTCAAGTCCTTAATGGGTCCGTTTTGCAAATATTGAAAGGATATATATTGTTCAAAACATTATTCAGAACATCTTTTGTTCAATATTGCTTATCAAAATATCTCCCCTTTTTGAGGTATAAAGCGTCCAAGATTTAGCATTCTGGCCCCTATTGGCCCCTTATTACATAATATATGATCTTAATTTTATAATATATAGTGGCAAATCGTTAAGAGGAGCATTTTTGCTTCAGTAATTGATAATAAAATATTGATAGTTAACGAGTTATAGATGAAAGACTTTTGGCCCCTCTGACTCCCTAATTTGAGGGGTCAGCCCCTTTTTCTTGAGATCAAATGAAAGGTCTTGTGATTTTGAAGACTCTTTGTTCAATACCTATTCAGAGATTTCTATTCGTTGTGGAGATATGCCGAATGGAAATATTTAGGGGCCACCCCTCCAAGTCCTTAATGGGGCCGTTTGACAAAAATTGAAAGGGTGAATATTGTTTAGAACCTTAATCTGACCATCTTTTGTTCAGTATTGCTTATCAAAATATTCCCCCTTTTTGAGGTATAAAGCGTCAAAGATTTGGTATTCTGGCCCCTTTTGGCCCCTTATTACGCAATATATGATCTTAAATGTATAATATATAGTGGCAAATCGTTAAGAGGAGCATTTTTGCTTCAGTAATTGATAATAAAATATTGATAGTTAACGAGTTATAGATGAAAGACTTTTGGCCCCTCTGACTCCCTAATTTGAGGGGTCAGCCCCTTTTTCTTGATATCAAATGAAAGGTCTTGTGATTTTGAAGACTTTTTATTCAATACCTATTCAGAGATTTCTATTCGTTGTGGAGATATGCCGAATGGAAACATTTAGGGGCCCCCCTCCAAGTCCTTAATGGGGCCGTTTGACAAAAATTGAAAGGGTGAATATTGTTTAGAACATTATTCTGAACATCTTTTGTTCAGTATTGCTTATCAAAATATTCCCCCTTTTTGAGATATAAAGCGTCAAAGATATAGCATTCTTGCCCCTTTTGGCCCCTTATTACGCAATATATGATCTTAATTGTATAATATATAGTGGCAAATCGTTAAGAGGAGCATTTTTGCTTCAGTAATTGATAATAAAATATTGATAGTGAACGAGTTATAGATGAAAGAATTTTGGCCCCTCTGACTCCCTAATTTGAGGGGTCAGCCCCTTTTTCTTGATATCAAATGAAAGGTCTTGTAATTTTGAAGACCTTTTGTTCAATACCTGTTCAGAGAATTCTTTTCGTTGTGGAGATCTGCCGAATGGAAACATTTAGGGGCCCCCCTCCAAGTCCTTAATGGGACCGTTTGACAAAAATTGAAAGGGTGAATATTGTTTAGAACATTATTCTGAACATCTTTTGTTCAGTATTGCTTATCAAAATATTCCCCCTTTTTGAGATATAAAGCGTCAAAGATTTGGTATTCTGGCCCCTTTCGGTCCCTTCTTATGCAATATAGGATCAAACTTTTATAACATATATTTCCAAATCGTTAAGATAAACATTTTTGTTTCAGTAACTTATAACAAAATATTGATCGTTAAAGAGTTATACTTGAAAGACTTTGGGCCCCTCTGAGCCCCTAATTTGAGGGGTCAGCCCCTTTTTCTTGATATCAAATGAAAGGTCTTGTAATTTTGAAGACTTTTTATTCAATACCTATTCAGAGATTTCTTTTCGTTGTGGAGATATGCCGAATGGAAATATTTAGGGGGGCCACCCCTCCAAGTCCTTAATGGGGTCGTTTGACAAAAATTGAAAGGATGCATATTGTTTACATTATTCTAAACATCTTTTGTTCAGTATTGCTTATTAAAATATTCCCCCTTTTTGAGATATAAAGCGTCAAAGATCTGGTATTCTGGCCCCTTTGGCCCCTTATTACATAATATATGATCTTAATTTTATAATATATAGTGGCAAATCCTTAAGAGGAGCATTTTTGCTTCAGTAATTGATAATAAAATATTGATAGTTAACGAGTTATACATGAAAGAATTTTGGCCCCTCTGACTCCCTAATTTGAGGGGTCAGCCCCTTTTTCTTGAGATCAAATGAAAGGTCTTGTGATTTTGAAGACTTTTTATTCAATACCTATTCAGAGATTTCTTTTCGTTGTGGAGATATGCCGAATGGAAATATTTAGGGGCCACCCCTCCAAGTCCTTAATGGGGCCGTTTGACAAAAATTGAAAGGGTGAATATTGTTTAGAACATTATTCTGAACA